TTATAAGACTTAAGGTTGCATATTAATATATAATATGATTATATGTATTTTTTTAAAAATGGAGAATTTTTCACTTTATCCAATGTACCACCAAGAGATTTTCTTTTATCATTTTGCTTTATATTTCTTCTCTGGATGCAAAATGACATCCATTTCTGTAGTCATCTAATAGAAAATACATGGCCTTTGAATGTCAATTTTGTTCTTGGTTTGGGGAATAGCAAAGGTAGGAAAAGAAAATTAGGGCCTATAATAATCATATTTTTTTCCCCAAAGTTTAAATTGTAATCAAAGACCTGAGGAAATATTTCCATTTATATGATTTTTTGAAGTGAATCGTAAGCTTTATGAAGGAATTGTGGTGACATTAATTTTACAATTAATAACTTGACTTAATTCACTGGAAGTCATTGTACCTGCAAGAAATTGAATACTAGCATCTGGGTTGCTATGTATTTTTATTTACTGTGACGTTAATAGGCTTTTTACTCATAGTAATTTGAAAAACCTCCAAGTTTTACCTGTTAGGTTCTTCAATTGAGCTTTGGTTTCAGTACAATTGATTCATGCCATCATTAATTTATAATATAGCAGGAAATTTTGCAGGCTCCATGGTCAGAGGTTACTTTTCTGAGGCCCACATAATCTGCATTGACAGGATTTGCCGTTTGCTGTTGGGAGACGAGTTTATACATTTTGTTTCTGTCCAGAGGATTAATAGTCACGTATAGTTTCCTTTGACTTGTCCACATTTTCTTCTTATTCTACCCACTTCAATAGATTCTCATCAAGTCCGCAGTTAAAGACAAGCAGAGAGAGATGGCTTATGTGTAGACAACGTATTTCTCCAATTCGTTTTCTCACTATTCGTGTTTTTGCCGACCTATTTCAAGATAATTATCCAGGGAAATGGAGAGAGGAAAAAAAAAATCAGCTTTGATAAATAGAAATCATAAAACAGAGCTCCTGTTGTACCAAGTGCCCCCAATTGTAAAGTGAACTTCACTTTAGTAAAAAACCTCTGTCTGAGCTGGGCGCAGTGGCTCAGCTCAGACCAGTCATGCCAACTGCTCAGGAGGTTGAGGTGGGAGGATCAGGAGTTCAAAGCCAGCCTCAGCCACAGCAAGGCGCTAAGCAACTCCCTGTCTCTAAATAATTAAACACAAAATAGGGCTGTGGGTGTGGCTCAGTGATGGAGTGCCCCCGAGTCCAATCCCCCCTCAGACTGTTTTTTACAAGGTGCCACATATTCCATGTCCCCATGAGCAGATTCCAGTCCTTATCTAGAAGCAACCGGTTGAAAACTAGAGTCTGGCCACACCGTGGAAGGAGCAGAGCACAAGTTCCCTCTTTGGATCTGGTGAAGTTTTTGTCAGAGTAACGGAAGGCTTTGGAAATGTGCAACAGTGGACTTGTAACAGTTGGAAAAGAGAAGACACAAGTCACTCAACCCTTACTGTGTGTAGATCCCGGGCAAAGTGCACTTAGTTCCTTTGTGTGCAAATGGTACAGCTAACCTATGACCCTTCTTCTTTTATTCTCTTTGAGAATAAATGTTTCAGATCTGTTCTAAGGCACTTTGTTTGTTTGTCTTTGTGATTGTTGTTTCTGAGTCTGCCCCGTTAGCTCAGTGACTTCTCAGTGGGAGGAGACACATCTCCGTTTCCTGGATCAAGGGTGCAGTGATTGACAGGCACACCCTTAGAGTACAATCTTTGGAAGCTGATGTCAGACTCATGCTCTGTTTTCCTCGGTGAATTTGTTCCATTGTATTCATATGTTATATGTTTGAGTGGAGTTGATTTGATTAGCGCATGATGCAAACCACCTCCCTGTGACTTCCAACTTAGCAAACAGCAGACGCTCACCAGACGTAAGGAGCCGGTCTGGGGTTGGAGATCCCGGCTTGTGTGTTGGGGGCCAATGATCTTGGTAACTAGGTCCTTTCTTTAGTCGCTTGTAATGTATACATTGTGTGGAAAGAGGGAGGCTGGTGCTTACTGCCTAATTGTAACAAGTCTGTCAGCATACTTTCTGGATTACTCAGTTGGGTTTGGAACTAAATTTCAAACTCCCAAAGCCAACCAAATAAAACACATCTAAACCACCCACAGAAAAAAATGAGCTCTGAAATAATGGGGGACAAAACCCCGAGGAGATCTTGATACTTTACATGTTTACAAAGTGGCTTTGGAATGAACCAGTTGCAAATTTGTGGAGATTCCATGTTGAAACTGTAGCTCTTCTTCCAAGTCTAACCTGTAAGGTTTTTAAGTCCAGCTTTGATTTTAGTACAATTGATTTGTGCCATTTTCAAATTTTATGTATAACTATTAACAACCCACTTTGTGTGGCATCTACCAGTCTGATCCACACCTTGGAATTATACTTTTTGTAGATGATGCTTCTAGTCTAACCTCTTTTGCCAATGAAGAAAAAGCACAAAATCTTTCCCTGGCCTTAACTGGAACAAAGTCTCAATACGTTAAATTTGCTATATCAGAAAAATCATTGTGGCTGTAAGACGTAGATACTATTTGATCTATGCATGTGCGCTTGGTGTGTAGAAATTCTAGCTCTTTAAAATATTTTTATAAATTGTGGTAAAATATGCATGATATTGGCCAGACACGCATTTTACTTCAACATTTCCAATCATCTTCAACAAGATGAATAAGATAATGAAATCGCTGTCTTTGGGGGGAGAAGGTGGCTACGGCTCTCTGCAGAGATGACAGTGCTTCAGACAAGAGATTTTTTTTTTTTTTTAATTTGGGTACCAGGGATTGAACTAACTCAAGACACAGAACCACTGAGCCACATCCTCAGCCCTATTTCATTTTATTTAGAGACAGGGTATCACTGAGTTGCTTAGTGCCTCGCATTTGGGGTCCCCTGAGCTGTTTCGGGAGCAGTGCCTGACATGGGCTAAGAGCCTAAGATGTACCAGATTGCTTTCTGTGCATGGAGCAGTGGAAGGCAGGCTTTCCTGGCAGGGTGTGGTTCTCCTTCTCTGTCTGGTGTGGCATCTCCATGTCTTCTCTTCTTCCGCAAAGTGCTGGTGTTTTTAGTGATCTTTTTCACTACTGTGACCAAAAGATCTGACAAGAAAAATTAGAGGAGGAAAAGTTGATTTGGGGCTCAGAGGTCCAGTCCCTGGTGGGCTGACTCCATGGCTCTGGCCCAAAGGGAGGCAGAACAAGATGGCGGCAGGGCCTGGAGGAGGAGAGCAGCTCAGGACAGGGCACCAGGGAGCAGAGAGAGCTCTGCTCACCAGGGACAGGATAGAAACCCCAAAGGCACAGCCCAGGGACCCCCTCCTCCAGCCACACCCCACCTGCCTACAGTCACCATTCAGTCCATTCAAGTGGATTAATCCACTAAGTAGGTTATACCATTCACAACCCAATTATTTCACCTCTAAACTTTCTTGCATTGTTACATACATGAGCTTTTGGGGGACACCACATCTAAACCACAATATCTGGCATCACCACCTCCTCCTTGGAAGGGACGATATGGGTGTGAGTGGGTCACCCTTCATTACTTAAAAGTCTAGATCCACAGGGGTACAGACATTTTTGTAATAATATCAATTCAGGCCACTCCTGGGTCAAAAGAAGGCTGAGACATGGAACGTGTCTGGACAGGTGTGTTCCGGGTACAAATGGACTGTAGTAGGGCTACAGTATTGGGCTGACAACCATCTTCCATAAAGGTCAAAGGCAGTTTAAGGTGGAATTTAGGATGCTGATGGCTATCTCGTCAGGCATCTTTTATAGGAAATTCAGGAGGGTTAGGGTTAGGTTGCGGGGTGGGTGGGAAGCCATCTTGGCTACTGTTTTAATAAGCCCAACGGAGGCCAAGGAACCCAAAATATCATTCTCTCTTCTACTCTCTGTGTGGGGAAGCTTTTAGGAGCCTTAGATGCTCCTCAGCTCATGGGCAGAAAGAGCCAGAAACTTGTGATAGCAGCTCATGTCTCAACGGTGAGAAGATGATACACAGGTCCGTTTTTCCTTTGGAACAAGATCCATTTGATGAGCCATCCTCTCCCACTGCTCAGCCTTCTTCTATTCAAGGGACTCAAGGGCTTGCTGTCCCCACCAACTGGTGGGTGGATTCTGGGCTCCTTCAAAATGTCACCAACAAGATGCTTAAACTCCTCTTTCACAGACGCAAGACGCAGGTGCACGTCAATGTTGAAGGAAATCCACGTTGTCTCACTGCACTCCTTATTGACGAGTCCCTCTTGGTAACAGATGGCCTGAGCACCTTAGCTCTAAAACCCGGGTGTCGTTTAGATGCATTGCATTTACGGGCTCAGACCACTGTGCAATGTAACGCCAAGAGGTGTGTTGACACGGAGAGGGTCAGAAGCTTGACTATTAGAAAATGAAAATGTATGTCATGCATGCATCCGAAAAGTCCCCTTGAATTGCATTCAATGGGGTTTGTAACTATTTACAATCCTGGTTTCTGTTTCTGCTTCTGGGATGGAACCCAGAGCCTCATGCATGCTAAGGGTGGGAGCTCCACCCCCAGCCTCTATGATAGATTTTTGACAGCTCTCTTTGAGCGGAGAGAAAAGGTAAAGATAGGAGACTGTTCACTCAGACACTTGGTATGACCATTGTGTGCAATCTAAAATCATCTCATGGGTCTTATTCCTTTGGGAAATTACCATGGAATGTAACCTTGCTGGGGGTTGAGAAAAAAAAAAAAACACAAATGTATCTATTTCATAAAACGTTCAAGGGGCTGGGTGTGGTGGTGCACACATATAATCTTAGGGACTTGGGAGGCTGAGGCAGGAGGCCAGCCTCAGCAACTTGGCAAAGTCCTAAGCAATTTAGCAAGATCCTGTCTCAAAATGGAAAATAAAAGTTCTTCTTTTAGGATGCCGAGGGATCGGACTTCATGTGTCTTTAATGGAACCTTTTATAAAAAAAGAAAAAAAAAAATCCTCTCTGTGTCTCCCTTCTGCTTCTCTCTCGTAGCCTCTGTTCCCCAAGAAAAACTACGAGTGCTTCACCAGCTGTGAGTTCCTCAAGTACATCCTGTTGGTGAAGCAGGGCGACTGCCCGGCCCCCGAGAAGGCCAGTGGGTTTGCAGCCGCCTGCGTGGAGAGCTGCGAGGTTGACCACGAGTGCTCGGGGGTGAAGAAATGCTGCTCCAACGGCTGCGGTCACACCTGCCAGGTGCCCAAAACGCTGTACAAAGGTAAAGAGCAAAGCCCGGTAGGGGCAGAGGCCGTCACCGTCACGGGGGCTGTGTGCGGCTGGGAAGGGCTCAGCCATGCCCACAAGAATGCAAAACATGGGGGACATTCATCCCGTGTCATACCCACGTGTCTTAAAACACGCACAGACCTCAGCCAAAATGTGAGACACAAATAAGCAACAGAGTTGGAGTTTTGTTGTTGGATTTTTTTTTTTTTTAAATAGTACCAGGGATTGAACCCGGGGTGGGGGGCTTAACCACTGAGCCCTCTCCCCAGCCCATTTTTATATTTTATTAAGAGACAGGATCTTGCTAAGTTGCTTAGGACCTTGCTAAGTAGCTGAGGCTGGCCTTGAACTTGTAATTCCCCTGCCTCAGCCTCCCAAGTTGCTGGGATGACCAGGCACACACCACAGAGCCCAGCCAGAGTTTTAATTCACCATATACAAAGGATAACAGCAATCCACGAACTCGGTGTATTTTTTTTTTTTTCTCAAAGGCAGACTAAGTCAATTAAGCTGCACTGGGTAACATTGTAATAAAAACATTGCAAATCCGCAGAAAGGAGACTGGGGTTGAGGAACACGTGAAAAATGCATAATAAACATACTTGTACTGGGGATTTTCTGTCGGCCCAATCCAAGAACAGACGTGTCCTTGTGCAGACTTTAAATATTTTGAGTGGTCATCTTGAGACAGAGGAATGACCCTCTTCCGAACATGGGGACTCCCTCCATCCCACGTGTCTGCAGATAGAATAGTTGACACTCAAGAGCAAATTCTAGAGCACTCCAGGGCATGGGGCTCAGGGCCACCAGCCTTCCGTAAGCCTGACGGGTGTTTCATACCCAAGCCATTCGGGTGGATTCTGAATTGTTTGCATATTATCAAGGCACACAAGGAGACACACATTCTGTTAATTTGGGGGTCCAGTTTGAATAGTGAGTAGAATCGATCCGTAGCTGTAGATCATTACAAGGAGAACAACAGCTCTCTGCCCCTCACTTTTTGGTATGCACATGCCAAACGCCCATCATTTCTACCCGCTGGTAGGTTTTTGACAATCTGCATATAGAGCAGTATTCACTAGCAATACTAGTTTTGGGGTCTGTACCAAACGGCTACTATTAAAAGTCCCTTCCCCTCAAGAGCTCACCTCTGCACAATTAATGCACCTCTCTGCCTGTTGCCTTGAAACCTGTAGAATCCACCTGATGTTATGAATTTTTGAAAAATGCCTCCTGGATCCTTAGAACCCCAACATAAGTTTTATGTCCCAGGTTCAAAATATTTGGCGCTCTCCCCTTCTTACTGAGTGACAGTTCTCGAATGGATCCAACATTTCATCGTTTCCACCCCTCCTATTGTAATCTCCAACAAGTCACTTTGCAAACATCTAAAACTATTTCATTTCTAAAAACTTTGATGTTATGAAACTCCTCCCCGTGACGACTGATTGTATGCTCTTCACCAAGAGGATGCTGTCAGATATTCATTTTAAGCCCTTTGTAAAACTCACCGGGTTTCAAAACAAGCATATTTCAAAAGTGATGAGGGGAATTAAAATATGCATTTAAAAATAAAAACATTGGAGAATCAGTGTGAATTTCAGATGTGCCAGTTTCACAGGAAATAAGAACAATTCCAGGAAGGACCAGTTAAATTATATAAAGACACATTTAAACCTGTATGTAACTAAATAGAATGGATTTTTTTCCTTTATTTATTTTTATTTGTTCTAATTAGTGATACATGGTGACAGCAGAATGCATTTTGATTCATTGTACACAAATGGAGCACAGCTTTTCATTTCTCTGGTTGTACATGATGCAGAGTCACACCACATGTGCAGCCATACATGTACCTAGGGTGATGATGTCCATCTCATTCCACCATCTTTCCTACCCTCCATGCTCAACTTGTCCCAATCAAAGTTCCTCCATTCTCCCCACCACACACACACACACACACACACACCCATTATGGATCAGCATCCACTTATCAGAGAGAACATTTGGCCCTTGGTTTTCTGGGATTGGTTTACTTCACTCAGCATGATCTTCTCCAGCTCCATTCATTTACCTGAAATTTTTATTCTCTTTTATTGCTGAGTTATATTCCACTGTGTATATGTACCACATTTTCTTCATCATTCATCTATTGAAGGGCACCTAGGTTGCTTTCATAGTTTAGCTATTGTGAATTGAGCTGCTATAAACATTGACGTGGCCGAGTCACTGTACTATGCTGATTAAAGTCCTTTGGGTATAAACTGAGGAGTGGGATAGCGGGGTCAAGTGGTGGTTCCAGAGTGGATTTTTAAGAAGTGCTAAAGTCACTCTTGTGCAGCAAAGGAGCTCCTAACTTGGATTTTGTGGGAAGAGGCAATTCATAGAGCATAAGCCACCAATAGAATGAATGGACTTTATGAAGCTGCAGTGAGCCAATAATGTTTGCATAATAAGAATGAGAAAACCAGGCTGAGATTGTGACTCGGTGGCAGGGTGCTTACCTCGTATGCATGAGGTACTGGGTTTGATCCACAGCACCACATAGAAATAAATAAATTAAATAGAGGTATTGTGTTCATCAACAACTAAAAGAAAATTTTTTTTAAAAAAAGAATGACAAAACTAAATTATTCTTGGAAACAATAATACCCACAGACATATAAAAGTATATATAAATATATATATGGTGTATGTGTGTGTGTGTGTGTGTCTCCCAGGAGCATTTGAGACTACCCGTGAGTAAGTTTGTGTGTCTAAGAAGGATCAATTAGATCCTGTCAGAATCCTTTCAATAACCTCTTAGGCTAGTAGCAACTTGGAATCCTTGTTGACCTGCTCAAGTAGAAGTCAACCTGCTCTCATGAGAAACTAATGCTGATGGCCCCAGGACCCTGGGATGTTCTGATGTGACTTGGTGGCTGGTAACGGACATTTATCTAACACCTATTGAAAGAGTATCCCAAAGCAAAGCTCTCACTGGGTATCATTAGAAATCATCATCATCATCATCATCATCATCATCATCATCATCATCATCCAATGAAGACATATGTCATCATCAAACATTTCTAATCTAATAAAATCACTAGTTTATCAGCATTTAAGGAATAACCTACGAATCTCCCCTAATCACACTGACCTTAGTCTTAGGTTACTTTGTAGGCCTAAGAATTTCAATTAAATACAGAGTGTAGACGACAGAAGACCAAATGTACTGGGCAATCACGACCAACTTGTCCATTTCTCATGAGTTTGTTTACTTATTAGATATTCGCCTCTTAAAACATTGTCACCTAGGTAGGTGCTGTTTGGAAATCCTCAAGAATATTGGCTCCATGTTTTCCCTGGTTTAAGTTGAAAAGAAGCGGATGTGCCCTAGATCTTCCAGCACTGATACATTTCAGTTGAATAAACACTTGTGGAGTGTCTCTCATTTGCCGTGACCCATTCTGGGCACTGGGGCACAAAGATCAAGATGAAACCAGCCCTCACCCGGCGCCGGGTTCATGGATGAGCTCCTCAAACACAAAGGAATCATCTGAGTGTGCAAGTCATTTTCTGAATTCTTGCAACAAATTGATATTTAGGAGTATCAATTTAACTGTTTTTCATGTCACTAAAGTTTTAAGCGAATAGAGCATACACGTCCACACTTTCTATTTGGTCTACTGTGTTTCTTGGAGGGGGAGGTAAGAGGTGCAGATTTTATACCCTCACGTGCTTTATATGTATATATATGTGAAAACTTGGGTTTTTATAAACAATGGGTGTTTTGAAAATGTGATGGGCAAAATTCTCCATGATTTCAGAGCATCAGAATTGGGTTATGTCATGAGTGACCTTGAGCTGATGCCTTTGCAGCTAACTTGAACGGACTTGTGTTATAGTTTGAAATAAACAACAGACTTCTCTCTCTTTATTTTTTATTTTTTTGCTTTTCAATAAAGCGAAGAGCAGTGAAATAAAAGACATGAAGTGTTCACAGGAGTGGAGAGGCAGGAAGTTTCTCATTCTATGAAATGCAAGTCTCGCCATAGGAGGAAAGTTAAAATTTTTACCAAGTTTCAGAGCAATTTCCACCTCTCCGTTATCTCCGTTTTCTCTTTATCATGAACCAATCAGCAATCAATCATTTGCCCATTCATTTCTTTTTCAAAAGACCCAATGACAGAGTTGATTTAATATTTTCACGCATATCTTAATAATGTGAAATTCAAATTTCAGAACTTTAGAGATGAACTAATACAGTATGTTCAAGTCATTTAGACCTTCAAGGGAAAAACTTTGACACTGATAGCTGAATCTCGACATGGCTAGGCAACTGTTGATTATTTATCATTATTGATTTTTCTATCAGTTTCTTCTTAGCATCTTTTAAAAGCCTGGGTTTCTGTTGCTTTGATTCTACCAAAATATATGTTCTTCATTTTAAAGAAAAAAAAAAGGACCTATTTTGTCACATCTCGTGGGGTGACATATGATAATATTTTTATATTTTTCATCAGGATAGTTTAGATTTCAGATGGCTAATTGGTTCAAAAACAGCTTTTAGGAAGAAAATTTCTAATCATGGTTGGAACGGAAAGCACATGAGGAGTGATCCCATCTCCACATCTGGTTATGCAATTGGGATCCTCGTTGGGCTCAGGAGGATGATGTGCTCTGGCAGAGAGGGCTGGAGGTCCTGGGGGTGTGGAGCCCCATCTGCACACAATTACAGAGGAGAGCTGGAATGACTTCCAATCAAGGGAGCCAGCTACCCTTAATGCAAAGCAGATGGACCGTTTCTTAACATGCAAATTCAGGAGCATTGCACATCCTAATTAAAGAGACTTTTTTAATGGAGAAATTTGAACCAACGTGGCCCTGATACTCATTACGTCCGAGGAAGGCTGTAGGTGGTTGAATGCTATTCAAGATTGAATCCTTTCAGCAAAGAGCTCTGGATGCTTGCATGTGCTTCTGATGGGTTCAGGTTAGTTGAACGGCTGGGATATTTACCACAACTGTATTCGCTCTAGAAGATTATATGGCAGACAGCCAGGGAGAAGGGCGGATTTGCATGTCTCAGAAACTGCTCTGAAAGTCTGCAGAAGTAACTGGTCATCTTCTCCACCATGCACAGAGACATCCAGGGAATCAGGAAATGTCCTCCGATCTGCATAGCCTCTCAGTAGAGAAAATGAGACAGAGAAAACGTCTATCACCTGCCTGCCCACCTCAAACACAAGAAGGACACAAAAGGATCACAAAAATGATCTTTCTGTTCAGTTTGGATTCTCATCACTCTGAACAAGTTTGAGTATCTTTTTTTCATGGCACAAGAAATAGAGACCTACTTCTGGTATTAAATCGGTCCTGAATTAACTTAGGGATTCCCATCTTATCTGTAAAAAAATTCTTTTAAAACTGGAAAAATACTATAGACAATGCAATCAAAAAAAAAAAAAAACACGTGTTCTACTTGAAAATATTTTGACTGCTTTGGTTTTTAGTATGAACCTTCTTTTTTTTAAAAAAAAAATAAAGTAAATGTGTATTTGAGTAATATAGCCATGATAGAAGAGAGAAGAGTAATTTGAAAGTATACATGGTTGGGAAGGCAGCACACAATACCTAGGATCAGGGTTCACTTTTGGAAGTGAGTTTCCAGCGGAGGGCTCACCACTGTTGAAAAGGTTTACACAAATGTTTCCAAGTTTTCTCATTTCTCTGGGTTCATTCTTGCCTGGAGTAAAGAAAGTCAGGGAGGTGGTTCCTCCAGCAAATATTTAGTGACCATTTGGTATTGCATAATGTTCCCTCCTCTGGGACATTCCAAGAGGTGGGAATGACCTCTGGGGGGCTGTAGCTTCATGCAGAAGACAGGCATCGTTAAATGAGCTCTTTGCAGCAAAGGGGCAGTCAAACGCACATCCTGACAGTTGTACGTTCAAGAGTTGAGAGGCCCCAAAGAATGGATCCTTTTTAGGAAAAGAGACACGGTTTGGTGTGAGTCTGGAAGTACTTAAGTGTCTACAGTCAGAAAACAGAATGAAAGACGATTGGGTCTGATAATAATAATAATAATAATACCATCAACAGACTATTGTGTGTTTCTGGGAAAGCTAAATCAAAGATGGGATCTTTGGTGGAAATGTAGGAGGTACCCTGGAATAAATCAATAGATAAATGGCAGTCGTGTGATTGACAGACGCCTTGAGGGAGATGAAGGAAACTGGATGCAATTAGAGAGTTTGAGTCCCACCTCTACTTTCGAAAATCATCACACAATATCAGAAAGTGGATTAGACAAGGAGATGGACAGGCAGGGAGATGAGCCGAGAAGCTGAGAAGTAGAGGCAAGAGACAGAGAAAAACGAGAGCAGGAGGCCTCCGTGGAGATGGACGATTTGGGAATTTCTACGCATAAATCCAGTAGATGCTGGTGGGATAAGAAGGAATCAAAGCAGGTGTCGCCTAAAGAACAACAGTGTTGCAAAGACAGCCACCCCGGGAAAAGGGGGGCTGGGGAGAATTCAGAAAGGAATTTGATCCAATCATAGCCCCAGGCAAACCCGTCTTCCTCAGACTCCATTACATCCTGTCCAAAATGTAGACGAGGAACCAACCGCTCACCCACTTCAGGAAGCCACAGCCCGTTGAGACAGACTGATATTAAACTGAACGTCCAGATACAGCCACAACCCAAGACAGTATCAGTACGGAGACCATAATAGGTGTGGGAAGGGAAGTGTGCTGCCTAGAAAATATTTTCTGTGTCAATGACTTTGACCACCTGTGAAGATGCTCTTTTAAAATCACCCAACTCTTACACTTGTACATTGCTGGTGGGACTGCAGATTGGTGCAGCCAATTTGGAAAGCAGTATGGAGATTTCTTGGAAAGCTGGGAATGGAGCCACCATTTGACCCAGCTATTCCCCTTCTCGGTCTATTCCCTAAAGACCTAAAAAGAGCATACTACAGGGACACTGCTACATCGATGTTCATAGCAGCACAGTTCACAATAGCAAGACTGTGGAACCAACCTAGATGCCCTTCAATAGACGAATGGATAAAAAAAATGTGGCATTTATACACAATGGAGTATTACTCTGCATTAAAAAATGACAAAATCATAGAATTTACAGGGAAATGGATGGCATTAGAGCAGATTATGCTAAGTGAAGCTAGCCAATCCCTAAAAAACAAATGCCAAATGTCTTCTTTGATATAAGGAGAGTAACTAAGAACAGAGTAGGGACGAAGAGCAGGAGAAGAAGATTAACATTTAACAGGGATGAGAGGTGGGAGGGAAAGGGAGAGAGAAGGGAAATTGC